CCTTTCAGTCCGCAGGCTGACGCTCTATCCACTAAGCCAAACCGGTTTCGGCTAAAAATTTATTATTTCTAAAATATATTTTTATTGATTTCAGAGAGGAATGGAGAGGGAGAGACAAACATCAATGATGAGAGAAAAATCATTGATTGACTGCCTCCTGCATGCCCCCTACTAGGGATTGAGCCTGCAACTCGAGCATGTACCCTGACCCGGAATTGAACCGTGACCTCCTGGTTCATAGGGCGATGTTCAACCACTGTGCCACAATGGTCGAGCAAGCGGGTAACGTTTTATATATATATATATTCCAAATTGTTTTTTATTTGAGGCAGATTGAAAGAATTGGGGACATTAAAACTCATTGAGAGAAAAAGCCTTGATAAACAACAGATCTTTGGTTAAAACCTGAGACATCACAAAGTTGGCATTAAAAGGTACTATTTTATTAAATAACATGACAGATAAAAATAGAGAGAGAGAGAGAGAGAGAGAGAGAGAGAGAGAGAGAGAGATTAATTTTAAGGAACTGGCTCGTGTGATTGTGGAACTGGCCAATTCACAATCTGTAGGGCTGTAAACAGGACGGTTGTAGTCTTGACGCAGAGTTTCTCTGGGAAATCTCAGTTTTGCTTTTTAGTCCTTCATCTGGTTGGATGAGACCTACCCACTTTATGATTGTAATCTCCTTCACTCAAAGTCAGCTGATTGTAGATGTTAATCACATTTACAAAATACCTTGACAGCAACATGTAGACTAGTGTTTGACCAAATAATTGCACACCATTGCCTGGTTGGAGAGAGAGATTTAATAGGTCAATGATATATTTGAGTTTCAGTGGTAATAGTTGAAACCTGGCTGAGGATGACATTTCTAGAGAAAGGAGAGAAGAGTTTAAGAAGCCCAGAGAAGGCTGCAAAAGTAGAGCTGTCAGGAAAAAAGGGTCACAGAAAAAGAGACTACGAAGAAGTGCCTACAACTCAAGATACACATACTAGTATTTGTTATTTTTCTCTATAACCTGATCCAATTTCAAATCCAAGACAGAATGGTGTCCTTGGAAGCACATCTGTAGTAATTGCCAAATGGAGTAAATTTTAGTTTGTATATTAGAATTCATTTTTTTCTTCTCTAATTTTACTCTTTCTTAGTCTTTGGATTCTGGGTTCATATACTGTGTCTTACCTAGAATAAAGAATTTTCCTAATAATAGTAAGCGATGCCTTAATGTGTTCAAATGATAGATTGTGATTTTGCTTTTTTCCTCCCAGAATAATTACCGTTGGGAAGGGACCTCACAAGAAAAATGAATCAACCACTTTATGATTCCCATTTAATTAGCTTTGTCTAGACCTGTGGTTGGCAAACCACGGCTTGCGAGCCACATACGGCTCTTTGGCCCCTTGAGTGTGGCTCTTCCACAAAATACCACGTGTGGGCACGCACGTACAGTGCAATTGAAACTTTGTGGCCCATGCGCAGAAGTCGATATTTTGTGGAAGAGCCACACTCAAGGGGCCAAAGAGCTGCATGTGGCTCGCAAGCCGCAGTTTACCGACCACTGGTCTAGACTGTTTGAAGATGACAGTGATTTGTTAAAAATGGTGTGTCCATCAGAAGTTTACATGGGAATACTGGCTCTAATATGAAAGTAAATTCTCTTTGAATTTCTTTTTATTTCAAAACTATTTTAGCAGTTTATTAGTAGCATTTATTTGATATTGATATATACATTGTTTTTCTTGATACTCTGAGAGAAATAAAGAAATAGAGTATGGAAACTATTTCATCCGAGTTTATATTCTAAAAGGAGAGATTATATTCTTGTGTATATATGAACATTTGCAAATGTTGGAGAGTAAACTCTTCTCTTACAGATATCTTATTGGGTCACTAAACTTACTCCTTTAAATGTCAGAGGGAAAAAAAACCCCACTTTATCTTATAGACTCTTTTCTGCGTTTAAAAATAGTGGATATAGAGGCGCAGGCTCGCGAGAAGATGGCGGCCGGGTTCAAAACTGTGGAACCTCTGGAGTATTACAGGAGATTTTTGAAAAAGAACTGCCGTGCTGATGGAAGAGAACTTGGTGAATTCACAACCACAACTGTCAACATAGGTTCAGTTAGTACTGCAGATGGTTCTGCTCTAGTGAAGCTGGGAAATACTGCAGTCATTTGTGGAATCAAAGCGGAATTTGCAGCACCACCACCAGATGCCCCTGATAAAGGATATGTTGTTCCTAATGTGGATCTACCACCTCTGTGTTCATCGAGATTTCGGTCTGGACCTCCTGGAGAAGAGGCCCAAGTAGCTAGCCAGTTCATTGCAGATGTCATTGAAAATTCACAGATAATTCTGAAAGAGGACTTATGCATTTCTCCAGGGAAGCTTGCTTGGGTTCTATACTGTGATCTCATTTGCCTTGACTATGATGGAAATATTTTGGATGCCTGTACATTTGCTTTGTTGGCAGCTTTAAAAAATGTACAGTTGCCTGAAGTTACTATAAATGAAGAAACTGCTTTAGCAGAAGCTAATTTAAAGAAGAAACGTTATTTGAACATTAGAACTCATCCAGTTGCTACCTCCTTTGCGGTCTTTGATGACACTCTGCTCATAGTGGACCCTACTGGAGAGGAGGAACATCTGGCAACTGGGACCCTAACAGTAGTAATGGACGAGGAAGGCAAGCTATGTTGTCTTCACAAACCAGGTGGAAGTGGGCTGACTGGAGCTAAACTTCAGGACTGTCTGAGCCGAGCAGTTACAAGGCACAAAGAAGTAAAAAAACTGATGGATGAAGTAATTAAGAGTATGAAAGCCAAATAACTACGTTTTCAAAACGTAGTTATATTTGTAAAAACTGTATTTATTACACTGTGCACAAATCTTTCATACTAAATAAATATCAAACTACATTTTTCTGAAGGAAAAAAAAAAGTGGATATAATTTAAACTTTAAAAAAAAAGACTTGGGACTATAATTTTTTGTTTGTATAGATTTGGGCTTCTGGACTGTTCACTGTTATGCTTTTGACTTAATTCTTTTTTTTTTTTTTTTTTTTTTTTTTTTTTAAAC